AACAAGAAGGCATTGTATGAAAGTATTTCCTTTTTAGGAGTGCAGTAGTCAAACTCTTGCATGCTCATTGGTGGTGATATTAGGAGGCTGATATTAGGGCATAGGAGAGATTAAATGCTCAGCTTTGTCATGTATTTCTTGTATGGCCTTGGCAAGTCATTCATCTCACAGCTCTCTAGCTGTGAAATAGAGAGTTATAAATGCTCCATCATCCAGGGAGATGTAGCATGAGCAAATTAAAGATGATGAGCCATTCATGGTAAGAAAAACCATTGAAATTTGTAAGGTAAAGACAAACAATTGGAGATTCAGGTGTGAAAGAAAGGAGGTTATAATTTAATCAGAGATGAAGTACTAAAGAGGGAGAATGGGTGATTTTGGATGAGCCAGATACTGAGCAAAGGGATAACTGATCCATACCATTAGGAGAACTACTGTTAAACATCATTTTTGGAAGTTTTAAGGCAAAGGTAATGGCCCAGTACACTGAGAGGTGAGGAGCAACAGTGCCATTTGTTGGGTTGTATTTCCACTGTACAGGACTTAATCCTGTCTCTGAAAATCATCTGCAGTGTTTTGGGCACCGTGGATGTGGTCAGTGAAATATGGTCCTAATTATGAGAGAGGAATTGTGTATGCAATGGCTCATTAACCATGCAAAGATTGTGAATGGATAAAAACACTTCACAGACTGATTGGTGCAAGATTACAGGTGACAAGCTGGAAACAGATTGGGCTGTGAGGGTCATTGAATGGAAGTGAGCAGTTCCCAGGTAAATGGAAGCGAAAAATGCCCTCAGTCCCCTAGCCTGGAAATTGCAAAGGGCTGAGCTCTCAGTAGAAGAGCCAAAAGTCAGGGGAGCACAAGGATAGCAAGAATTGAGGCATAGTCATAACAAACACCTGAAAACACCCTGAAGACAAGGGGAATGGTACAAAAAAGGAAAATAGCATGGATTTGAGTTGGTTCACCTTGGAGTTGTGTTTCTCCAAAGGAGAAAAGCTGTAATGATAAGTCATTAAATTGTCTGTTGTTGGAGCAAAATGCACATTAAAAAATGATAAGCAGTCCCCAGCTGCCTTTCCCAGCTGAAGGGAAGGTTCTGGTTGACTTGTCAGACACTGCCTTTCCCAGCTGAAGGGAAGGTTCTGGTTGACTTGTCAGACACTGCTGCATACTGATCTACAGGCCTCCAAGGCTCTGGCATATCCAGTCTTTTCCTTTGAAAATTGTCATGTGTGGCAGCTTTTATGTGCAGTATCATGTGTCTCCTCCCTGGGGCAGAAAACACAACAGGAGAGGGGAGAAGTTTGTGTTTCAGTGTACCACAACAAGTAAGATGGTAGATTGCCAGCTCTGTATTTGCATAGGAAACCACTGCTGCTCCATCCCTGCCTGCTCCCCAGGTGCTCTCAGGAAGCAGTGAGGACAATATCCTCTTGGCACTCCCAGCACAGCTGTGCCATCCTTTCTGCTCCACAGTGCCCACCCTGGTCTTCTTTCCCCCCCAGTTCTCAGGTGGGAGAGAGGAGAGGCTGGGCTGTTGCTGCCACTCACCCCAAGAGGTTTTGCGTGCAAACTCCTGCCTGGAGCTTTGTCAGTAGCAATGAAATATTCTGGTTTAACAAGGTGGTAAATAAATGTGCAGCTGCACTGGAGTTCCTGACAGGGCTGCCACATGCTAGGCTGTGCACAAAGTGCCAGGCTGTTGGATCAGCAGCACAGCACCATCCTGCCCACAGCCTGCAGAGCTGCTGCATCCTGCAGCCAGAAACTCATTCAGGGAGTGAAAGCCTGAGAACAACACAGGAGACATAAAGAGACTGCAGTGTTCCAGTGCAATTAAAAACGAATTAATAGTCACAGATGCACTTGGGTTCCTTCACAGTTGTGTTTTTCTGATCAGTTTCCTTCCCTCAGAAAGGAGTGCAGCTGGCTCGGTCCAGACTCTCGCTGCTGTTTGGAATTGTGGAGCACTTTGCTCGCCCTCCCTGAGCTTCTGGACAACAAAATCTGCTTTGGGATGGAAGAATAGCACCCTCAAGAGTTGACAGTGCTGCTTCAGGGAGCCATAGTGTGCAACATGCATCCTTCCTCTCTGTTAAATCAGCTCCCTGTTCATGTAACTTAAACAACAAGTTTTCTCTTTAATATTAGAAATATTTGGTATCAATCACTGTTGATATGAATGGGGAAATAAGCATTTGTGCTTGTTTGGGGATGAGCTGGTTCTAAATATTTTGCCTTCAAACAGGGAGGGAAAATAAAAAGGCGAAGATATGTCTTTTTTATGAGTCGGGAACTTCATTTTATATTATATTAAAATCATTTAAACAGGAATTTAGGTTTCTATGTAAAAATAGAAGACTTAAAAGTTCTTAACTTAGATAAAAGGGGTCTATGTAAAAAAAAAAACAACCAAAACTGAGCAAACCAGTCCTTAAATTGTGGGGACTTGTTCGTTAATTATAGTAATTAGGAATGGAATCTGATCCTAAATGTTCTGATTTACTTTAATTTTTTTTAACATGTAGTTAGGCCTTAATTTCAGAATGATTATAAAATATGAGAGTGTTTTAAAGACTGAAGAGGCATAGGTATTGTTATTAAATCACAAACTTAGTGATAAATTCTGCTTACACTTTCTTAGTTATCCTTCTGCTGTTTCGTGCAGCACTGACTTTTTATTTTAAATGATCATGGCCTATTCCTGTTTCTGCTGACTTCAGAGTCAGACAAGGCCTCTTGAAAGCTCTGAGCATAAACTGCTTTTATTCCAGATGATATTTCTCCCAGCAGGCAAAAAGTCCAGCTCTGTGTTTGTCCCATTTCTGGAAATGGGTTCACTTGAGTAGAACAAGCTGAATTTGGACAGTTGGGTGCAGTCAGGGACATTTTACTCTCCACTCTGAAACACCTAAAACTCACTCCTGTCCCAGTCCCAGGCTTTTTCTCTGAACCAGGACTTTGTTCAGAGTTCTTATGAGTGTTTTCATTGCTCAGACAGTGCCGCAGCTCCCTGTGGAAGCAGCCCTGTGGGGCACTGCTCCTGTATTGAAACCAAGACATATAATTTTAGAAAATACTGACTGCATATAAAACAATTTAGGATTAATTTTTTTCTATTGATAGTGAAAAGTATACTCTGTAATCTGTAAATTAATGTTTCCCTGCTGTAATTACAGAATCCATTCTCCTGAGAGGACACTGGAGTATGCCAACTGACTCTGCTGGCCTTGCATTTGCTCAAGAAACAAAGTTCACACCTGCATTGTGTGAAACAAAAACATGAGGGTTTGGTGCATTGCCATTTTTGTTTCCTGTTGAATCCTTTGAATTTTTAATTGCAAGAAATCTGTCAAACCCTTTCTGAGTAATTTACTGTCACAAGTTTCTGTTTTACTAAAACAGAACTAAGAATTGCATCTTTTTTTTTTCTCCAGCCATCACTATATTTGATTCATTTTCCCTGCAGATCTTCTGTAGCAATTTTAAGCCTGCACCTGCTCCAGTGGGCTTGGCTTGTCCTTCCAAACGGACCTTCAGGACCAGCAGAGCTGAAAGCCCGTGGGACTGCCCAAGGTGCAAGCAGCAACAGACACATCAATTCTGCGTGCTGCAGTGATGGCAGCAAGAGGAATTCTGAGGATTCAAGAGGAAAAACTGAGGAGCTCCTGGGGAGGCTGTGGGCCGTACACAGGAGCCACAGGGGAGCAGTGGCTGGGACATGCAGCTCCTCTGAATCCCGCACTTGCAGGAGCATTGATCGCCTTCAAAAGCCGCAGAAAACGGAGGCTGGGAGGGCAGTGAGGCTGCTCCCGGGGCCGGGCCCACGGCTGCAGTGCATAGGGATACAGGGCCACTGCAGAGCTGGACACCTGGCCATGCAGAGCTGGACACCTGGTCACTGCAGAATTGGACACCCGGCCATGCAGAGTTGGACACCTGGTCACTGCAGAATTGGACACCCGGCCATGCAGAGTTGGACACCTGGCCGCTGCAGAGCTGCGCTGGAGGGTCCGGGCCCCGCTGCACCCGCGGTTATCCCGGGTCAGGGCCGGGAGACGGACCAAGCCCGGCACTGGTGGAGATTGCTGGGTGTGCGTTTGGGGAAATCCGTCATTAAATTTACCTGCTCGATTGGTGCGGGGAATGAAGCGGCCCGCGGGTGACCCGACCCGGGCTGTTCCGTGCAGGCGGGGCAGCTCCTCCGGGCTCGGCACCGGCGCTAACCGCGGGCAGCGCGGCCCGGCCCGGCGGATCGCCCCGAGCAGCGGAGCCGGGGAGCCTCCGCGGCCACCGAGCTGCCCGCCCCTGCCCGCCGGGCGCCATCCCGGACACGTCCCGCTGAGACCGGGCGAGCCCCGCGGGTCCCGCCGGGGGCTCCGAGCCCGGCGGCCCTGCCGGCAGGTAACCACCGCCGGTGAGCAGCGCCTTGGCTCCCAAACCCGACGGGGCGAATGTTCCCGACTGGCCAAATATTTGCAAGTATGAGCGGATGGTGAACTTTGAGACTGTGTGGGGAGCGCAGGGCCGAAGCTCCGGGCGCAGAGGCGGGAGCGGGCGGTGGAAATGTACCGGCCGGTGGAAATGTGCCGGCCGCGGTTGGCCGCTCTGCCCCGCCAGCGGCTCCGGCAGCGCGGGCACAAAGTCCCGGCGCCGTCCCCCGGGCCTCTCATCAGCGCGGGGTTCCCTTGGCGGAGCCATGCAGCGCTCAGCGCCCGCCGGGCTCGGGGCGGGAGGGGGAAGGGGGGCCCGAGGAGCGCGGGGCGCTCTCCCCGCGGCGCGGCGGCCCCCGGGGGCGGGCGGGAGGCCGGCGGTGCCCGGCCGGGGCGCTGGGAGCCGACTGCGCGGCGGTCAAAGGTTCCCAGCGGGAGGTTGGACACTAGAGGGCGATCCCCGGCCCTGCTGCGGGCTGTATATATACGGCACGCAGCACCGCGGCAGCCCACTAGCAACAGGGCAGGCAGCGAGCGGAGCGGAGCGGAGCGGAGCGGGGCTGGGCCGGGGGACGGGCTCCGGGAGCGCCGAGCCGTGCCGAGCAGCGCCGTGCCGCGAGATCGCTGGAGTCGCCGCCGCCGCCGTCCCGTTCGAAACCTGGATTGCAGGAGCCCTTCACCATGCCCGGCAGACTGTAGTTGCTTCATGGAGCAAGCCAATTTCTACGAGGTCGATTCCCGGCCCCCGATGAGCAGCGGCCAGCACCACCAGCTCCAGACTCCCCTGCCCGGCAGCACCTACAGCTACAGAGAGGCTCCCTCGGCGGCGGCACCTGCTGCGGGCGGCGCGGAGCTCGGCGATATCTGCGAGAACGAGAACTCCATCGACATCAGCGCTTACATCGACCCCGCCGCCTTCAACGACGAGTTCCTGGCCGACCTCTTCCAGCACAGCAAGCAGCAGGAGAAAGCCAAGGCCATCCTGGCCGGAGATTTCGACTTCCACACCATGCACGGGGCCGGCGCCGCCGCCTCGGCGCCGGGGCACCAGCCGCAGCACCACCAGCAGCCGCTCTTCGGCTGCGTGCCCGGCTACATGGACGGCAAGCTGGACCCCCTGTACGAGCGCATCGCCGCGCCGGGCTTGCGGCCGCTGGTGATCAAGCAGGAGCCCCGCGAGGAGGAGGAGGTGAAGTCGGCGGCCCTTTCGGCCCTCTATCCCCATCACGCCCCGCAGCAGCACCCGTCCCACCTCCAGTACCAGATCGCCCACTGCGCCCAGACCACCATGCACCTCCAGCCCGGGCAGCCCACGCCGCCCCCCACGCCCGTGCCCAGCCCGCACCATCCGCACCACCCGCACCCTCCCGGCGGCCTGTCCGCCGCGGGCACCCTCAAGATGATGCCCTCGGACCACCGGAGCAAATCGAAAAAGACAGTGGACAAGAACAGTAACGAGTACCGGGTGCGCCGGGAGCGCAACAACATCGCGGTGCGCAAGAGCCGGGACAAGGCCAAGCAGCGCAACGTGGAGACGCAGCAGAAGGTGCTGGAGCTCACCACCGACAACGAGCGGCTGCGCAAGCGGGTGGAGCAGCTCACCCGGGAGCTGGAGACTCTGCGGGGCATCTTCAGGCAGCTGCCCGAGAGCTCGCTGGTGAAGGCCATGGGCAGCTGCGCCTAGCGCCGCGCCGGGGCCGGCCGGGCTGCGCTGCCCTGCCCGCGCACAGATACTGTAGGCACCGGCGTGCGGCAAGCGCCGTGTGCCGGCGGGAGGGGAACGGGGGGTTGTTTTGGTTTTGTTTTGTTTCGTTTCGTTTGTTTTTTATCGATTCACGACCTATACAAGAAGCCAGGCAGCTCTAGTATTAAAAGGTTTGTGCCTTAGAGATGACACACGAGTAAGCTGAAAACATGGTGGGTTTTCTAAGGAGAAAGGCAAGGGGAGGAAAGAATTAAAAGACCGCGTGTCTACACAGGGTAAATAACAGTAATAATAATAATAATAATAATAACAGTCATAAAGCACACATAGCAACCCAGATGTGCCTTAAAAGCTGGCTGCAGGAGCTCTGGGGCTTACTGTGCCCTCCAGCCTTGCAGGGTGCGAGGAGAAGGAACGAGGGACGTGCAAGCTTGGGGGCTGCGGTGCCTGGGGTGTCCTTGCTGACCCCTTCCAGCTGGCCTGCAGTGCAGCAGGCAGGAGCAGCTTTGGGGCAGCCAGCGATGAGAAGAGGATTTGAGGCTGAGCGATGTGCAGCAGTGGGCGCCGTGAGGAGCACTGAGGTGTGGGGCAGCCCCCAGACTGCTGCCAGGACTGTCGCAGCCTGGCCGGGCTGCCTCTGCCGAGCCCTGTCCCCTGCCTTGGCTGGAGGGGGACAAGGGGCCAGCGCCGCTGCAGGACCGATGGACAGCCTGGGACTGATGGAGCAGCAGCTTGCAAGAGTGTGGTGAGCTCTCTCCATCGACAGAAAGAGCAGCGGTGTCTTGTACTGTATGTCACGACGTGGCGAAGCACAAATGAATAAATACCTATTGATGCGGGTATTTACTATGAACTTTCAGTGTATTTTGCTTTATTCCAGGACATTTTGCTCTTCTCCAAGTCTCTGTCCACCCAAACTGTGCCTCATGTAATGTGAAAGCCGTTCCATGTACACTAGCTATACTTTATTGCCTTACTTAGATCTTTGCCATCACACAACTTTCTTATCTGGTGACAGAGACTATGCCCTTGTGCTGCAACGTTATTTTATTATTTGTATGGGTGGGTGAGTGTGAGTGTGCGTTGCCTTCTTCACATTGTCCTGTACTGGTTGCTGCCTCCCAGCCCCAAGGCAGGAGTGTCTGGAATGGGGCAGGGGTTGTGGGGCTGCACGATTCCTGTGGTGGGGCAAGGAGGCTTGTCCCTGGTGCTGCTGCACCTTTGGACTCTGGAGCTTCTCCCAGAGTGAGGGAAAAATAAACAAACAAACAGGCCCCCTGGGCATTCTGGTAGCCATGCAGAACATTTCTTCCTTGTGTCGTAGCTGCATAACAATTTGTCCAACTGAAGTAGGTCTTGACAAGAGAGCAGAACAAGGTGGATGGAGCTGTTTGGAAGCATGACAGTGAGAGCACAGTGCTGGCAGCGTGTATGTGTGTGTGTGTGCAGTGTGTGTATGGTATGTATACGTGTATGTATATGCACACACGTTGGTGGGGTTTTTTTAATTTTGGGGGGGAGGGAACTGCATTTAAAATTTGTCAGAAGTCCTGGTTACGTTCATAAATAAACAGCATATATTCTACCATAACCACCCGCCTCTCTGCTTGTTTCCAGTTCTCTTCCTATAGCAGGAGTGCCAAAGCTCTCCTCTTCCTCCAGACCAGCATCCAGCTCTCCACCGACTTCTGCATCCCCTGCCAGGGCTGGTGACTGAAACGCGTTAATGGAGTGCAACTCCTCGGTTTTCACCCCAGAGAAATAAATACACGGTTGCCTTTAAGAGAACGGCAATTTCCTAAACGCTTGCGGTGGCAGATGTGAGCCCGTGAGTCACGCCTCGCTTCACCCTTCACCCCGCCGCGGCCGGGCCGGGGGCCTGCGGCCGGGGCTGCGGGGACGGGCGGCCCCACGGACCGGGGAGGCTCCGGGTGCCGAGGACGCGCAGCCCGCCCGCTCCCCCGGGCCCGCCCGGCCGGGCAGTCCGCGGGTCTTTGCGGGGCGCGGGGGGCAGAGCGGGGGCGCGGCGGGGCCCGGCGGAAAGAGAGGCGGGCAGGGCCGGGCCCCGCTCGCCCGGCAGCGCTGCCCTGCCCGTCCCTTCCCGGCCAAGCACAGCCCTGCCGTCCCCCGGCGCCTTTCGCTCCCGCGGGGTCGGGCCTGGAGGCGCCGGCCCGGCCCCTCGGAGCCGGCGGGACGCGGGGCAGGGCAGGGGGCAGGCGGGGTCCGGCCGCGGGCCACGGCGGGGAGGTGGCGCGAGACCGGGCGGCGACGGGGGCGGGAAGGGGCAGCCGTGAGGGGGGCGGTGGCTCCGCCTCGGCCGTTCCGTCCCGTCCCGGAGCTCCGCCGTGGGTTCGGCCGGCCCTGAGGTGAAAGAGCCCCCAGCGTGTGGCGCAGTGCCCGGATACCCTGTGAGGGGACAGCGGGGTCTCGGGGCGCCGCCCGCTCTTCTCTCCGGCGGGACTTGGTGCCCGGGCGGGCGGCCCGCGGCCGGGCTGGGACTGCGCCTCAGGCGTGTGAGGGAAGCGGCCCCAGAGCCCGGCCCTTCGGCAGCGCCTGTGTGGACCTTTCCCGGGGAGGGGAGCCCACCCGGGGAGCCGCACTTCCCACAGCTCGCTGCTCCCCACAGCCAGCTCGCTGCTCCCCACAGCTCACTGCTCCCCACAGTTCAGTGCTGCCCACAGCTCGCTGCTCCCCACAGCCAGTTCGCTGTCCCCCACAGCACACTGCTCCCCACAGCCAGCTCGCTGCTCTCCATAGCTCACTGCTGCCCACAGCTCGGTGCCCCCCACAGCTGGCTGCTCCCCACAGCCAGCTCGCTGCTCCCCACAGCTCAGTGCTCCCCACAGCTCAGTGCTGCCCACAGCTCGGTGCCCCCCACAGCTCGCTGCTCCCCACAGCTCAGTGCTCCATGGTGTGCCCACTGCCCTCATGCTGTGTGTGTCCAGCGCGGCACATCACAGCAGACGTTAAACACCGCAGAGGGAGAGCATTGGATGCACCAGTGTGTGGCCCGGGATGCTCGAGCTGTGGGGGGAGATTGGCTCCCGAAGTGCCTCAGCCAGGGCAGGTGCAGCCCCCGAGCCCTGCTGGGCCCTGGGCTGGATGGACGGGGCAGTTCCGAGGGCTTTGCCTCCTCCAGTGGGGTTCATGCTGGGCCATCAGGGAAGGCAAGGCTGCTCTTCCGACATCCAGCATGATGGTGATTCTGCAAACGCTCGCTGCTTGGGGTGGTGAAAGCTGAATGCAAATCGGGAACAAGGATTTCACTTTTCAGTTAAATGTAAGTTGTGTGGTCCAGAGCTCGTAATTTTCCAAAGAGAGAGTTAAGTTCTAGTGGTGTTGGGCAAAAATAATGACTTTTACTTGTGCTTCCTTCCTTCCCCAGCCCTGCAGAGCTGTACACCCGTCGGGTAGGATGTGCCTAACTGAGTAATGCTGTCCAACGTGTAAAGTGGGGAAATGCTGTTATCATTTGAGCAAAGATTATTGCAGGGTATATGTGGGAGGGACTCTAATCTAGTGGTTAGAGCATGGGAATACAGTCCTGGTTGTTTGAGTTATGTTCTGAACTGTGACTCACCGTGTGTGTGTGTGGTTTCAGCAAATCATTTATGGCCTCACAAAGCAGATTTTTCCATTAATTTAAATGAACTGTAGATTAAACTGCTCTTCAGTGGCACAAGAATCAGCCATTCTGTGATTCAAAAGCAAGATCACCTGTCTACCACATAGGTGTTTCAATAGTTATATAAACACAAAATGCCCTGGAATAGTACGAAGGGTAAATTATTGATAGCATAAAAGTGTTTAGAGACACTTGCCTTAAACACAGTGCCAAAGTGAGCAGCGTTCTCTAATCCTAACCCTAACTGTAGGCTGAGCCCTCGACAAGGCCCTCACTCAAGGCTTAGACAAAACAGTTCTCACAGCACGGGGCTTTCTGCAGTCTTTACATGCTCTTTGTGGACTGCCTTTTGCTTTGGCAGCCCCCTCCCAGCCCTTCCCAGCTGCAGAATCTGCAATTTCTCTTCCTTTCAAACCAAACCCTTACCCTGGCACACAGCTGAGCCTTCAAAAAGTCCCTAAGTCATTGCCCAGATGACAAAAGTTCTGAGAGCAACATGTCCAGGAACGTGTGCCTTAGCAGCAGGGTCAGAGCCTGCAGTCCTGCACTGCTCCACTCTCACACATGACCCCAGCATTGTCTGTTTTAGCAGTATTTAGGCATGTACTACACAAGCTGGATGGTGGAGAGGATTTTATGCACTGTCCACTCCAAATATCACAGGACATGGAGCTGGAAGGGGCCTCTGGGGACTGTCTGGAGCAGCACACTGCTGTGAGCACGGCTGCAGAGGATGGCAGGCACAGCTGTGCTGCTCTGTGCTGTGACACACAGGTGAGTGTGACAGGACCGTGGGCAGGGACTGTTCTCACATGTGGCACCTCCACTCCCATGTTCCCACAGTGGCACCTCCACTCCTGCCCTGCACACAGGCACCCTGGCATGGGCAAAGGCTTGGTCAGCTCCAGCTCTGTGGGTGTCTGTACTCAGCAACATTTGTCTTCATGACTGCTGGGTGGTTTGTTGGTTTTCCCACTGAGCTTGTTCCTTTTACACACAGCACTGCTGCAATGCTGCCGAGCCTCTGCCCGTCGTGCCGTGCTGCTGGGGCTGTGCTGTCCTTCCTTCTCACCCCTGCCCCTCACCAGGCCCAGACACGGGGTTGGGGACACGGAGGGGGTGAGGTGGAGGCTGGGCACTGACTGGGAGGCTGAGCAAGTAATCACATGTTGAGGATGAAGGGAGTAGTTGTCTGCCAGCACTGTGTACAGAGTTGAGAGATTGCTCATGACCATGGCAAAGTCCTGCAGCACGTTGGGGGTGGTGGAGGAATGTCATGGTTTCTCAGGCTTTTTATTGCTGTGACAGGAGAACTGCCCCTGAGGAGCTTTCCTCATCTACCTGCTTCAGGAGTTTGGAGAGGAACAAATTTCTGCTCTGAAGTGGGGCATTGAGAGATGCCCTGCTGGTGAGAGAAAGCAGGTGTTTGTGCTTATTTATTTGGATTTGTTGGTTGAACTGGCTTTGAATCAATTCAGTTGTGAAAAGAATGGCAAATGTCTGAGTAAAGGATAGAGAAACAGGCCCACTGCCCTCTCTTGGTATAATGAAATAAAAAAATTATGTTTTATACATTGACAACTCTGGTTTTTGGTGTGTTTTTCTTCCCCTGTAATGAAATCCATGTTCATACACATGAAATTGCATGCAAATACCACACAAATATCACTGTTACGGTGTGGTTTGCTGTATCATACATAAAATACATACTGCATTTTAAAACCAAGACTTGGTAAGAATAAGCATATCACAAGAAACTTCAAAACCAGAAAGTCACTTCAGATATTTCTTCCAGTTCCTATTATATTGTTATTATTTTATGGTACTACTACTGTGGATCCAAAGAGAGAAAATCAGCCCATATTTCAAAGAGTTTACCTTTGGTGGAAAATCAGCATATGCTTAGGTGATATATAATATA